AATTCGTCTGGTTGATATCTACAGGCTCGGGCTCGTTAATAAGTGAGGAAGCAAAATATTCACTGAACGCCTCACACATGCAAATTGGGTCCGTGATATTTACATCTTTGTGTCGGATTGAGATGGGGATTCGGTCGGTACGTCTAGGATTTCTTGACTGTAGCAGTTGTGTGAGCGCGGGTGTCTTACGGCAATTGGAAATTGCCAGACGCTCTTCAGCTATATGTCGCAGCCTGTTTTCTGTAGCGATCTTATTGCAAAGACTATTTATACGTATGATCATGGAGAAGTCACCAGTCTTGTTATACCTAGCTCGAAGTTTGCGTAGCTTGCGACATACTCTTGGTGAAAATTTGCAGGTGGTTCTATTCGCTGGAACTAACTTTCGTTCAATGGTACGTGTATGTCTATACATGTTAGAAGTTTGTTAGAAGCACTGACACAGGCTCTTCAACATTTCCGGTCAAGAAAAAATTATCCCAGTTGTGAGACCGGAGGAATCTGGAGAATTGAGACCAGTCGACAGATCGGATTGGACGGTATAATATTGTAGAGTTTCCATGGTTCCAGGTAGAGGTAATACAGCACTTAACAATGTTATGATCACTGTCGGGGAGTTTACCCAGGACAGTTACATCAACACATGAGAGTTTAAGAGTGAATACTAGATCCAGGCTGTTGTTCATACGTATTGCAGAGGTAATCTGTGTTGCTGAACCTGTTATACCGATACTGGCCAAGAAGTCTGCATATTTCTAAGGACCGGAGAGTGAAGCCCACGACACTTCTGGCATGTTGAAGTCCCCAGCAATAATCTTCCCTGTGGAGTAATGTGTTGCTGCGAACTGGAAGGCCTTCCTAAGTTTAACAAGTGCGGAGTCGTTGCAAGGTGGTGGGTTGTAGACGCAGCCCACCAAGAAGTCTAAATTGTTAAAGGATGTCCTTATCCAAACGGAGTCATCAACTCAGCACAGATGAGAGTCAGTAAATTCATCCACCCTGGAGGTCTTGTCGAATGTAAATAGAACAGTCCCCACGTCTACCCGTTAGACGTCTTTTACGATAGTTTATAACACGGTAGTTGAACAAGCGTATTTGGTGTTTTGTTACTACACCAAGTTTCAGTAATGAGCAGCAGGTGATGGCAAACAAGTACAGCCATGGGTTGAAGCATGTGCATTTTGTTAAGATGAGAACGAGCTTTGAATAAAAAAGCGTAGCAGACCATTTCCCGGTCTAGAAGATTCTAATATGTTCCTGAAAAGTTGCTGTAGTTCACGCTGAACCGCGCATGTGGGTGGATTTAATTACGCTAGCTGGAGGTTAGAGGTGCTCTTAAGTGACCTAGCCACTTTAGAGACGTTAGGTTGTCCCTTGGTTGTGAACCATCGCCGGAAAGTTGTTGACTAGAGTGGTGGTCGCGACTGAATACTATAAAAAATGATTGTGGTTAGCCGAATGTACCCCATTAGAACCCTTAGAATTAGTGTTACAAACCATGCATGTACGAGGGTAGAGCAATAAGTTTCCGGATGCACAAAATCTTTTATTTTTACAAAAGGATGAGCATTACATATTTTCGAAGTACTCTCCACCAACGTTCATACACAGTCCCATGCGCTCAAACCGTATGGAGAAGCAGCAATACCATGAAGCGGGTAACCTTTCAAACAGCTCTATAAAGGCCTCTACTGCAGCTTCTGGAGACTCGTAACGGATTCCACGCATCATGCGCTTGACATTTGGGAACACGAAATGTCACACGGAGTTCAGATCTGGATGTAGGTTGGATGACCAAACTACTGGGTCCGTTCTCTAGTCATAAGGTCTGCGACGACATGGGGCCTGTGTGCAGGTGCGTTATCATGGTACAATAAGGTCCCTCGTGTTCGAGTCTTTGGACGACGCCTGGCTACAGCTTCCAACACTTGTGGCGGACAGTGGGTGACATACCAGTCTCCGGTGACTGTACGTTTCCGTACGAGCGTTACAGTAGCCACACGATCGGTCTTGGTCACGAACACATCCACCATCTGCTTGGTCACACCGCGCTCACGACGGAATTTCTGTGGTGGTGCACCACCAACGGCTGTGTACTGAGCCGATTGTTGCTTGGTCTGTGGGTCGAAATTGTATACCCAAGTCTCATCACCACTGAGGATCTCCCAACCAGCATTGTAGCCTCCACCATCAAACCTGACAGGCATAGTGGGGCACCAATTAACCCGAGCTGCTTTCTGGTCCTCGCTGAGCTGATAGGTTACCCAGCGTGTTCAAACCTTCCTTTCAGGAGGTGCAAATAGTATATCTGAACAAAGGAAGTCGTTGCACTGGGGGCCAGCCCTGTTCTCTGCACATTCATCACATGCAAGACAGTGGAGGGTGAGCCGCACTATATCGCAGTTAGATATCAGTCATGATGGTCTGCTGCCGTCGCCTATGGCTCAGTGACATAAATCGCTGACTCGTAAGAGTAGGGTCGTAGATTCGAATCCGGCAGGATTCGGCGGGTGCGCGCTACTGACGAGTCCCAATAGGACGAAATGGCCGTCTAGCGCTTTCCTGGATGGGTGGTGGCTGTCTGTCTGTGTCTAACTGCGACAAATCTACACAAAAACCTTATAAATCCCCCTGCTACTCACAAATATCTGCACATGTTCAGGGATGATTAAGAAGATAACTGCACATTGTATACAGTTTGTACACAGCAAAATCACAATCGTTTAATCTACAGTTTTCAATTGGTTCATTGGTATCTTGGATTTTAGATAGCAGAAAGGAATCCTTTGTTAGCCCCACCACTTTCCGCTCGCTATAGGGATCGTGTGAGTTGCTGCGGCACGGTGTTCTAAACGAAACATTGCGGTCACAGTCAATGCTACAAGTTCCATGCTTGTCCAGCAAATGGATGACTAGGAATCGTTTGAGGCATACCGCTGCTTGCGCCCTGACGACTAGCTCAGGTAAACTGTTGCATTCATTCACTACACGAGTCGACAACGTGACATCAAAGCGAACACGAAGACACCTTGGTTTAAACAGCTTCAAAGCGTGGCCTCTTGTCGAACTATCCGCCCCCCCCCATTTCACCTCGGCGAATACGTCGTGTGGAAACCAAGTCACCACGGCGACGACGATACTCCAGAGAGATCAAGTTCCTCCTTTGAAGGCGAAGTGTGTAGGATAGCTCTCGGAGTGTAATTACCGAATTCCATCCCCGCCGCTGAACCTTAGGTATCTGTACCCATTCGTTAATCCTAAGAAGCTAGGGTGCTGGCAATCCGTAATCAAGAATTGGTCAAACACGAGAGTTGTAGAGAAGTCGGAATATCTCTAGGTCATCTGGGAAGATCTCCTTATAGAGAAGTACATCCTATTAGCAACTGCAATTTTCTTTAGGGTATCTTGATTCGTGTGTAGATTTAGCGAGACTATAACCCCAAGATCCTTCTCCAAGGTTGCGCTCATGAGCAGGAAGCCCCCAATATGATTAACACCAAAGGGGTTCGGGGCACCAATTGGGAGGACAGAACCCTTTGCATATTTAATGGGTAGCTGCCACTATATTGACTAGCAGTGCAACCGATCCAGCGTTGTCTATAGCAAGTCAGCATCATCAAGTGCGGACACCTCTAGCCACAGCTCAAGATCATCAGTATATATGAGGCAATCAGTTTGGAGCTCAGATGGAGGATCATTGATGTAGATTTTAAGAGCTCAGGACCAAGGACATAGCCCCTTTTAACCCAGCTGCTCATAAAAACAGGAGTTGAGTAGGTATCGTTCAGGTTAACTTGCATGCTTCGTCGATTTAGGAAGTCAGCGACCCAGGAGAGAATCCTTTCAGGAACGCCAATTCCCCGGAGTTTAAGATGGAGACGTCTATGAGGAACTTTGTCAAATACACTGCTGAAGTCGACAGAAATGACATCCAGACTATTACCTGCATCCAGCGATATTGCCCATTTTTCTCCAGCCGCAAGCAAGTTAGATACAGGAACTGCCGTTCAAAAACCGTATTGAGTGCGCGATAGGAGATGCAGGTTCCCCAGGTAAAGTTTTAAGGCTCGCTTAAGGATTCTGTAGGGTGCGGAAGGTGCGGATTGATCCCGACGAGATCTCGGTGGCTTTCCTCAGCTGTACCGCAGTCACCCACACGTCTTCCCCCAGCACCGCTTGCACAGCAGCAATGTTGTCCGCGTTGAAGGCCTCCGCAGGTCAACCACCCCTTGCCACATCATCCAGGCACCTGCTGCCACACTTGAATTTCTCAAATCCCTCAAACATGGTGGTTCTTGAAAGCGCATCATCACCAAACACAGCTTACAATCGTGCAACACTCTGCTGCTGCTTCAAACCACATTTGTAATCATAGGAAAGCATTTCCCTCCAGCGACATCGACCGAGTTCCATATTTATAGTCAGATTACAGCGATCCTTATGACTTTGGGCTGTGGTGTGCTGCCGATGTAGGCTTCTGTGAGTGGAAATCACTAAACAATGTTCAGAATGAGTTCCAGATCGCATTTTTCTTACCACTTCATCTGAACCTAATCTGTATACTACGTATGCGGATACTTAGTGCTCTGCCGTCGTACTCAACATTGGCAGATTCATCAAGCGCCTAAACAAGAGGAGTAACGACTATTCTCATCGTTCTGGACATCTGTCTCGTGTTCCCAAGCGGTGGCAGGATGCCTCAGCTCTGCGAAACGCTTGATTTCTTACTCACCCATGCAAAGAATTCACCAGCAAAACAAATGATCGCTCTATTGTGCTATGGAGACAGCTGCGATCTACTGCAGACTGCCACATCAATCACGTTCTCTTCTTGGACATGGCCAGGCGTGCGCACGGTACAGGTTCGAATAATTCATGCAGGCATGTTAGAGATTCATACTCCCACTACTCCCACTGTGTGATGCAATACCTACTCTGATGTAGTTTCAATGAGACACTGTCATCCGTTGCCTTTCATTCATTGTTTCTTTCGTTTTCAGGCTGCAGCTTTCGAGAATCCCACTTCCGAATTCGAATAAGCACACATGCACTTCTGACAGCAGGGAAGTAGATTTCACGGAAGCTGTCTCCACTGTGTTTGAGCACACGGCCGAGGATGAAAATGGTCTCACAAAGACGCCTTCTATCGTGCAATCCGATGCAGTCGTTTAACTCTCCCTTCACGTTCAGGTCAATGGACCATCTGGTTTCGGTTAGCGCCAGTCCTTTATGCAGTTTCTTGTACGCCTGTACACAACGTGATGACACAGCTCACTTGCTACATTGTATTCCGACTCGGCACTTCCCATGTCCTCCCACTGTAACGTTGATTCCTAGTCTATCACAAACTACTCCCGAGTAGTTTCTGGGATCTTTTACTTTTTTTACTTAAATTCACTTCATGGTATTGTGCCTCCTCGCCAGTGAGTGAGCCGTGCACATTAATAGGTGGATCTTTATGCAAATCTCCATTTTCTCTTTTACCATATGCACAGTAGTTTTCCCGGCTGTTTTTGTACCGGAGAGCCGTTACTGACTTTCAAACTCGCTTGACTTGCATTTTCCACACACTCGGTTTGTTCCAACAAGCCACTTCCCACCTGGGTCGCCTGTTGTTCTGGTCTCTCCTCCTGTCTGTCTGTGATCCATTCGAACTCATTTGTTTTTCCTATCAACTTGGCTATAAAGTACATTGTTTATACCTGTAATTATATGAACTTTTAATCCCTTATAATCGAGTGTGGGGCTCTAGGTGTAGTGCTTTCTTTCCTATTATGGTGCTAGTTACCGGTATCATCCGTTGCTTGTGAATATTGTGGCTTATGCGACGATCTGGGCGATATGGTTGATTTACGTAATCGGTGAGGTAGTGTACACATGGACTCCCTCCTTTATCCAATCTATATCCTTTCTCAGCCAATTGCATCTATGGCGGTTTCGAATTTCTACTTCAGGAAATCATCTTCCTCCTTAGATCTCTCAAGATGGTCCTTAGCGCTGTCATATTGCATCCAACGGTCGCATATACTACTGACAATGCGTACTATTCGTTGAGTTACCAATCGTGTAACTGCTGGGTACACAGCTTCGTGTGTTACTTTCTGATTTGGATTTGGTCATTCAATTAACCGTTGCCTTTCTGGGCGTTCGTGCCCGCTGAATTCAACTTGAAGGCCTTATGGACCATCTTGTAAGATCTATGAAGGAACGTAATTTTCTTAAGGAGGAATTTGAAAGCGCTATGAATGCAATTGACTGAGGAAACGTGTAGGATTACTGGTATTAGTGCTCGACCGTTTTTCTAACACACGACATGTATAAGCAGGAAGGATTGGCTACTCATCTGCTGTAATCCGTACCGCTTAACTGTATCTAGCGGAGTGGATTCATGCAAATCTTATGTACCTCATTCATTTTTTTCCGACTGTGCTATCATCTGCATCAATGAAGTCATGAAAACCATGTTCGCTGGTGAATGAGTTATTGACTTGGAGCAGTGTTTCTCAAAGTGTAGTCCGCGGTATTTTCCGAAATGTTACCTTTCTCTTAAAAAGTTTCGGACGTGATTTTATTTTATAGTTCGACGAAAGTCTTGCCATGAAAATCTGTTACATCGAATTTGACGGTCTGCGTTAGCCTTGTGACGAGCCGATGTAGAACAAACTGTCCATGTATAAACCTGGGTTTAGCAAAGACTTAAAATTTCAGTGAACGATGCTGTCAAATGTCAAAAGGTGGTGTAGTTATCTCACCTTGTTGCGATAAGTGGAGGCTAGATGGGTCATTCTTCGTTCACTCAAGCTCACAAAACCCAGACTTTTTTCTCCGGGTGTAGCCGAAAGTGCATCATGACATATGCCCATTTTTACAATCATTTCGAACTTCGCTATCATCCGAAATCAGCCGTTTAGAGAGGTTAATAAGCACATTCCTTCCCAGGGAACCCCAGAAGGAAAGCGTGGATATTTTGGGTTTTGACGGGTGTGCTCATTTGCCTCAGCGAATTGGACAGAAACTATGTGACATTAAAAATTGATGCCTGTTTTGTCTAATTTATTCTCTACGTCATTAAAAATTCTACTTATCAAAGTAACCAAATTTGAGGTCAGCCATGTAGGTCCGCCGCCGTCACCCATGGTTTAGTGGCACAAGTAGGTGGCATCCGGAAGTCATGGCGTCGGAACCCGGCATAGGTTTGAGGAACGCACACCACGGACAATTTTCAGAATGTCGAAACAGCTGTCTGGGGCTTTTCCAGATCTGTGCTAGCCTGCCTGACTGAGAGGGGACTGCAACGAAATTCATCTAAAATTTGAACTGTGTTCTGAACTCTTGTACTTAATTATTTATTTTCATTTTAGCATTTGTGCACGTAGACCGATGTCTAAAGACAGGAACATTGCTAAATATGTCATAGAAGTATTCATCGTCGAATTTTGACATAGTAATAGTTGTTCCCTTTATTAGGCCTTCTGAGAATGCAGAAACGGAGACTATGGGTATTTCCATACTACGTGATCCCATGCAACCGAAGCCTCTGTATCATTCAGAGGCGTAAGCACAACTTTTATCTTCCTTTTGTATTTAAGGAGTCTAATAATTACCGACAGTGTCTCTTGTCTAACAAAGTGCTTCGGAAGCAGAGGTGAGGCGGCAGTTTTTAAAAATGCATGCTGACTGTAGTGACAGAAAAAGGAGTACTTTAAGTGCAAGCGGGAGTAACTGTTGAGCACCCAAAAGTACACACTTAACGCGTCTCAGCCTGAAGCATTTTACTTAGCTAATTTGGTATTGCGCTGACAGAAGAACAAACGATAGTAGAGCAACTTATCAAGCCATGTGCAGTCGAAATGGCTGGGCGCATACTGGATGAAAAATCAGCAAAAAAGCTCTGTCATACTACTATCAAATCACACAGTATATCGAAGCATTAGAATTCTAGCAACTGCGGTTAAGAAGTAAACCTCACTCATCTGTTATAATTATTTCGCTCTTCAATGGATATCGACAGAACTTGCCGTGCTAAATGGGGGCATAGAATTTCCGGCGGATCTTTCTGACAAAATTGTGCAGCATTCGGGGGATCCAGCCGAAGCCTTGTTCCAGTGTTTTTCCAGAGAAGATGGGAAAATATTGAAAGCATTTTCATAGGTCAGGAATTCATTTGCTTGCACGAAAATGCCTCCTCCTTTCACATCATTTCACTGTGAGAGGTTCATCGACATACTCTCAGATTCTTCCCTATAGAAAGTTTCAAAAAGTGTCGCTGGCTGACTTATGGCGTAGAACGAAGGATAAGTACCCTGTCATAGCGAGACAGCTATCACCGTACTTCTCCCATTTTCCGCAACCTATCGGTGTGAATATGTATTACACCTGGACAAAACGAAGAATCACAATATACCTGAGCTGAACCAGACATGAGGTAGCAGCTTTCCTCGATAACACCAAACATCAACTAAGTCAGAACTGCATATCGGAAACAATTTCACCTGACACATTAAGCCCTAATGTAGGTCGTTTTTTCTACCTAAATCCAACAGATTTCATCTTTTTACAAACATCAATGAACACCCATGTTAATTCAGTGTACAGTAATGAATGTTTCCAGGACACTCCGTCTCATTCTCGTTTTATTAAAGTTTAGTTCTGTGGTTGGCATTATGTCAAAGGGTCCGCCTTGCGAGCTTCCGCTAAAAAGGGGTCCACAGCCCAAAAGGTTTGCGAACCGCTGACTTGGAGTGTTACGACGATATTACCTTAATTTTGGCAACTTCCAAACATGTCAAGCATTACTGGACAGATTAGTACGAGCTGTCAATCGTTTCTAACTGTTCTCTTCACCCTCAAAATGCAAAGTCCTTCCTCGAGATTAGCAGAGGTCCACTATTGCGATGACCCTTAATCCAGAAATTTAAGTATCTCGGTAGCTATATTAGCGCCAGTGGAATGGAAGCTGAGATCACGAACCGCATACCTAAAGCTCGCTGCACTTTTGCCAATCTCCGCCACCTGTGTCGTCGGTGCGACATCAATCTCGCCCTGAAGGACATTTTACAATGCGGCCGTCTACTCAACCCTTCTGTAAGGATGCGGAACCTGACCCATCAAGTCGACCGACATAAGAAGGCTAGTTATGTTAGATCTTGGCAGCTTAGCTCATGTCTGGTGGGAGCACCGCGTGAGCAATGCGCGTGAGCAGATCTGCTTTTCAGAGGTATTTCATCTTATGAGCGCTTGAAAGAGTGGCTAGATGGTCCGGAGTTTTGCGGATCCATGAAGGCGAATGGCCTGCCTTCCCATTAGTCACCACAACACCGGATAACATAGAGTTCAAATGCTTGGCCTCCCATGTGTACGTGTTGACAGAAAAGTGCCCTTCACATGCGCTCATTAACCGTCATTCTGATTGCGTAAAGTTGCTGAAGTCTTTTGCATGGATCTTGCGGCTCAAAGTGTACGTTCGGAGACTAAAAGGGGATCATGATACTCGTGATCAACCTCATAGACTGCTGCAATTGCACAAGTAGCGATAGACGTTATCCGGATCGGGCAGCATCGAGTGTATAGAGAAGAGTGTGCATGACTTGATGAGCGGGAAAGGAATGAGTGACCTCGCAAGGAAAGTCTGAAAAGAAGTGCATTAAGGCGTTTGTGTCCCGTTTTACGTAACGACCTACTCTGTGTTGGCAGCTTGTTGTCCTATTACTCGCATGAGCCCTACGTAGCGTCTCCAGTGATTATCCCAGCTAAACATGCGGTGACCGATATGCTAGTCAACTTACATCATCTTATCGAAGGTCACTCGGGAGTTATCCAGGTACTTGCGAGCATCCGGCGTAAATATTGGATCGTTCACTGCGCTTCAGCTGTCAAACGGCTCATTGGGAAATGTTGGACATGTAGGCGGCAACTGGCGACCGTTGGGCGACGACTGATGGCACCATTGCCAATGTTCATAGTGCAGGAAGATTGGTTTCACTTTAAGTACGTGGGTGTTGACTATTTCGGACCTCTGATCGTTAAATGTGATCGAAGACAGGAGAAGCGGTATGGCTGTTGCTTCACCTGTTTGCAAATGCGGACTGTCCATCTATACCGTAGTGATTGGAACAAGAGGTCTACCACTGATGACACGCTCAGCTTCTGCAAGTAAGGTAACCAACGTTAAGAGATTTATAACCTGCGACGGAAAGCAGCATTCTTTTAACGGATCTTGTCATTCTCTCCCGAATGCCATTTCGATGACTTGCAGACGGAGGGTTGAAGGGGATGGGCCTTTCCAGCGTTCCCTGAACTTGCTCGCACCTGACCCTTCATTATCTGACCGATCGTTGCTCCGTACCTTGACTTGTTCACCAATCCTGAACGGCGTCCACTTGTGAGCCTCATGCCTGGCGTCGTAGTTTCTCTTATTGCGTGCTTGTCGGGCTTTGGTTCCTTTTCTAGCAATCGTTTGCCGTCGTGCGTGGTGCAGCGCCGGATGTTCCCCCTCACTCAGTTTCCCTAAGCACGTATAGAGCGCAATCCGTGGTTCTCGGCCAAATTATAATTCGAATGGTGAAACCTTGATGGTCGACTACATGCTGGTTCTTTGTGCAATCAGAACTTCAGGCAATGCTTCCTCCCATGCCAATTTCGTGCAGTTTATCCACATCTTCATGGTTCGGTTGATCCGCTCTGTCATTCCGTTGACCTGCCGGTGCT